AGTTTGAATTATGTCCCAGTGGTTAAATAGGTGGTCACCACACAAGCCCCCCCAGAATTGAAATATGGCAAAAAAATATATCCCCACGTCCGTGGAGGAAGCACCACAAGGGCCGCGGAGGGTGGGGCCGCAGGTGAGGACCGGGCCATGGAACGGGCCACGAAAGGGGGCCGCAGGAGAGGGCAGGGGCCCTAACGAGGATGAAGGCACCCCCACCGGGGGCGGGCCGGAACAGGCCGTCGTAAGGGGGCCGCAGTAGGTGTCGCGGAGAACCCAGCAGGAAAGAGCGCAACCCGGCCGCAGGCAGACGTGCAACGGCGGCGGGCACGAAGTCCTCGGCAGGCGTCGAGGTATCCCTGGGAAGCAGGAGAGCAACCCAGCCGCAGGCAGACGTGCCGCGGCGGCGGGCATGAAGTCCTCAGCAGGCGCTGAGGCATCCCCGGGAAGCAGGAGAGGCCAGACAGGGTCCCGGAGCGCGCCACCCATGGACCGATGGAGCATGGGCGACGTCCGGAACTGTCGAGGCGAGAGGGGGTCCAGGAGTGCGCCACCCAGGCGCCGATGAACGTGAGTGGCGTCTGGATATCCCCGGAAGGCAGGAGAGGCCAGACAGGCTCCGGAGCGCGCCACCCACGGGCCGATGGCAGCATGGGCGACGTCCAAAACCGTCGGGGCGAGACGGGGTCCAGGAGTGCACCACCCAGGCGTCGATGAAAACGTGAGTGGCGTCCGGAACCGCCGTCGAGGTGGTGAAGAAAGGTGAGAGTGTCGACATGAGGTCAACCGGCTGGTCGAACCTCCTCTCCGGCACCAGAAAAAAAACTCAAAAGGGCCGATAGCCATTAGCACTAGCCGTCGTTAGCCCCACGTGGTTAGCCGCTAGCTGGCAGCCATGGGTAGCTGCCAGCTGTCGTTAGCCCCACGTGGTTAGCAGCCGGGACGTGCAGCCGCACGCCCCGAAGAACAAACCCACGAGGTAGCAATGGGGTTGCTGGTCGACCCAGCAGGTCGTGCATCGTCCCCCCGTTGGATAGAAAGCCGATGCGGGAACGGCGAGCAACGTCTCCAGCCTTCTGCGGAGCGCGCACCGAGCCTCAGTCCGCGTGCCGGTGGCAGCCACGGACGTCTGCAATCAAATCCCGGCATTTCGAGAAAGGAACTCGAGTTCCTTTTGCCGTGTTCGGCTCCGTCCCGGAAACTTCTCAAGACGTATCAGGGTCACCAGTGTAGTGCAGAGAGATATGGAGTCAGAGGCGGTGCAAGGAAGGTGCAAGAATAGTAATTTATTCACAAGCTGCAAAGGACATGTTGTCGGGTCGCAGCCCGGGTCGACAAGAGAGAGAGCCAAGAGGGCACACACTATTTATAGGTAACCCATAACATGTCCGTGTGGGAACAATAACCGCAACTGTAGTTCCAAGTTTGAATTATGTCCCAGTGGTTAAATAGGTGGTCACCACAATAGCACTTTAAAACCTTCAGACCAAAGTGCTGTACAGAGAGATACGCTCACACAACATAATATAAATACATTTAAAATACAAGATACAAACACAAAACAAACCAGAATAAACGTAATAATTAAAAAAAAAAATAACAGCCATATAATACAAACAATAGACCACTGAAAGCAAATAAAAGCAACAATCTACTTGTTTCCGAATGCTAAGGAGAAGAGGTGGGTTTTAAAACGGGATTTAAAAGCAGACAGTGTGGGAGCCTGTCTGATGAGCAAGGGCAGGTCGTTCCACAGTTTAGGGGCGGCAGCAGAGAAAGCACGGTCCCCTCTGCGCTTAGACTTTGTTTTTGGCACCCTCAGGAGCAACTGATCAGCTGACCTGAGAGTGCGAGTGGGCATGTAGCTGTGTAACAGCTCAGAGAGGTAGGGCGGGGCCAGGCCATTGTGGGCTTTAAAAGTAAATAAAAGAGTTTTAAAATGAATCCTCTAATGAACGGGCAGCCAGTGGAGCGAAGATAAAATGGGGGAAATGTGCTCGTATTTGCATGTGCCAGTTAGTAGCCGTGCTGCTGCATTTTGCACCATCTGCAGGCGAGCAAGGGAGGATGCATTTATCCCCATATAGTGCATTACAATAATTCAAGCGGGAGGTGACGAAGGCATTGATTACCGTTTCAAATAGGTCACTATTTAAAAAAGGCTTTATTTTGGCTAGCTGCCTGAGGTGGAAGAAGCTGTTTTTAACAACTGCCTTGATCTGGCTGTCAAGCTTAATCTCAAAAGTCGATGTGGTTAAGCATTTAGTCGTCATAGATGGTGAGCTCCAGAACAAGAGTGCTCTCGGGTAAAATTAAGTTAAGAGTGTGATGATGAAAGGAACATCTGTCAACGTATTTTCCACCTTGTTTTCATTTAGGACTCGGACACCAACTAAATGCTAATTTCAGCTAACTGAGGTTCATATTCTCTGATGTGAAAAATAAGACATCGCCACAGAGTTTTCAGTTACATTTGCACCTTTCAGATGGGTTGAGGTGAAGGCTGTGTGTCTGCATCCACAATCTACTCATGCTCTCTGTTAAGAGTTGTGTCTGAGCATTAATGAGGCATTATTTTCCAATCTTCACCTTAACCCCCATGGCAAGATGGCTATGAGTTTATCACTGGCTGTTATTTACAAGAGGAGTGTTTCAGTGGTATCCAATATTGCCCCCAGAGACATTAGCAAAACCTGATTATCTTGGCACCTACCCTAAATGTTGAACTTTCTTCTTGCACAATTCTTTGGCTTGGGTTTTTATTTCAAAAGGTTTAGTTGCCATATAAACTTGTGTAAGTAAATCTGTTAAACCGTGTTGGGATAATGTCATTTGTTTTTTGAACAGCTTCCACTCTCTATTCAACGCTTTGTTAACTGTCTGCCTTATAAAGAATCTACAAACGACAAGATTTTATTTTGTTACTCTCCGCAAGAAAGCAATTATCTGTATTTCGTTGAATTGAAGTATCACATTTGCGATTTAAGGCAATAGATGAAGTCCATTCTAATGTTAAGAGGTAGATGGTATGTGGTCTGATAATACTGACGTAATGTTCATTGTGCAGTCATATTAAAGAAGAGGGATTTAGTGTTTCGTTTGATCTTTTATATCTGATTAGAATTCAAGCTCTTACCATTCTGGAATTTCATATTATTTTTCTGATTGAGAGGGTGCTGAACCTCTCACAAGGACAAAAGGTGTCATTTGAAACCTCGACGAAATCACACAACGCTACCACTTCCAGTCAAGTGTCCTTATTATTCACCTTGGAAGGAAAATAAGACAGTCAGTGACTTTAACATGGATATTTGTGCCATGTGTGTGTGAGTGTGAGGGGGTTAATGATGTGTGCAATAGCAATGTAGGAGGACACGTGCAGGTGTAGTTTAGGGTTTCGCTTTGTCTTTGCAAGCTTATGGTATAGGGTGACATCAACAGTATAAAACTATAGTATTAAATCACAACTTTTTTTTACTGGTTTGTTCTCATTATAGCTTTTTCTTTAATTGCTGTGTTTAATGAAACATGTAATGCCCTCATAAATGTCCTCTGTGGAACAGTGCAAGAATGATCTTTTGCAAATATTCTGGTGCTTAATGTAAGCAGCTTTAGAAAGGTTTTCATACTGGTGTGCCTTTAACAAATAATAATTTATCATTTAAAAAGGCAGCATTTCCTGCATCCTATGAAACTCTTCTCATTATAAGTACGCAAGTATGCAAATTACTTTAGTTAGGAAACAAGAATATTTCAAAGTTTAAAGTGACAAAAAACAATAGAAGAAAATAACTGAAAAACATATTACTTTCCTTTGTGATGGACAATAAAAAGCATTACGAAATGTATAGAAGATATTTATTTGACACAAACACATATGCAAACAGTGCACTGGGCTGACAAACATTTTGTAATCTGAACATAGCATACATTATATATTCTTAATGCCCAAACACTTTGATATTACACTTTAGCACATTTCGGCTCACACATTACATCACAATAACAGTAGCAGTATAATAAAGAAATTAAGTTTTGCACCATTGTATTTACATTCCTGTACTGTTTTTTAAAACAAGTCCATAACATTTCTTTTTGGCATGGAACAACTTTTTTCCACCTGATACTTTTCAACTTTTCAAATGTTTGTAATAACATATAAAACAGAAGATCCTTAAAAGCAGCACTAAATAGTTTGATAACATACAGGACCTGTATTTACATTCATAGCTGTATCCATCTTTCTGATTCATAGCTTAAAGTGGCTGCAACAGACACATGTGGCACGATACCTACATTGGCATGGCCGCCATGTGTGTTGCAGGCATGAGTGTTCAGGGTGTAGAAGGAAAGGGATCAGGTTCAGGCTAAATCATAAGCCCTGCAAAGTGCCACAATATTGCATCTGTTTACATCAGTGGCCTTTCTTCATGCCGGTCGACAAGCAATTATTTTCCAGTGCTCCTCACTCTCTCTCTCTAAGGATAATTTGCTCAAATACCAGTTGTGACGAGTCTCTCCTCCCTGCCTACAGTATATGCTATCCTGTATTATTCCAGAGAGCTTGAGTATTGATCTAAGCCTGCCCAGGCATTTTGAAATAGTAGTAATCTGCTTTTAAAATGTTCAAAGGAGAATAGTTCATTTAGGCCTCAATAAGACAGAGCACTTTTAATCAGCTCGCAACATCTGATATTGTTTTCAACTAGAGTGAGGCTTTAAGCTTTCTGCATCACTGAGCGTCTGGTACAGATCTGTGAGTTTAGCAAAAATAAAGGTTGTGGCTGCAACACAACAACACAAAATAAAGAGCAGAAAGCATAAATGATCGGGTCCTAACACTGCAGCCCGACAGCTCCGGCTTTTCTGTTTTTCCACTCCGACTGTGTTTTTGGTAGCTAATGCACCTCAAAGTGGATGACAGATGGATGCAGTAGATCAGAAGAAAAATAGCATGACATCCACAACAATTCATCCCCATTCACACCCCCTTTAAGTTGTTTTTAACACGAAAAAGAAGTTTCACCTTTTATCCTCACTTCTCCATCTTCTGCCTCGGCTTCAACGACAGCAGCTCCACAGCTCAGCGGAGCATCACTCAAGGTGCTGCGGAGCGTCATACGGGTGACACTGAGTGAGTGTTTTCTGGGAATTATGTCGTGGGGCCGATGACACATGACCTCTTTGAACATTTCTCTAAAACGTGTGGACATGAGGTTGTACAGGATAGGGTTGACGGCCGAACTGAGGTAGAAAAACACTCCGGAGATGATGTGTACGTACTGAAAGATGTGCAGGTGGTAGTCAGTCCAGTTATTGATGAAACTCCACATGAGACGGTCAGTGTGAAACGGGGCCCAGCAGATCCCGAAAACCACCACTAAAACAACTGAAAGGACAGAAAGAGAGGAGGACACAATGGGAGTCATGGAGGGGAGATTTCAATAGCAGTACTACATTGATTGAAGCCAACATGCTATCTATTCAATTGTCCCTCTGGGGGCTGTGTGTCAACTATGCAGAGACTATCTTGCCTGGCTGACAGCTGTCGATTTTTGTAGAATTGTTAAGGTTATTTTAGGAGATCTCTCAAGATTGTTTGTAAATGCAGCCCCTGATCTTTAAAAACCCTTCACTATTGGTCTCCACCTAGTTTTGTTTGGCAGTGGCTGGCTCCACATATTAGCATTCTTGTGTTGGGAAAAATCCCTCTGGCTTGTTTGTGTTTAAAAAATAAACAAAAATGAGGACAATGCCTTGTGAGATACATGGCCAATTGCCGACTTTTTCCAACAATGTACATCCAGTGAGCCAGACTAGCATCGGCCTAAAAACTCTATCGATTAGGACTCTTAGTATTTCATAAACATTTTTGCTTACAGGTCAGCTAGGCACATAACTCTGGTTAGTATTAAGGTACAAACCATTTTGATACTCACACAACATTTTAGTGACCTGCCGGCGACGGGCCTTCTGCTGCTGTGTCCGGATGTTACAGAAGCTGTCCTGTCCAAAGCCTGTCTTTGCCTCCAGTGTGTGACACATCTTCTCCCGCTTAAGCTGCAGCCCAATGAGTGTGTAGAGAGCGCTGATAGTGAGCATGGGCAGGAAGAAAAATAGGAAGGTGGTCACCTGGATGGTCAGGTTGTACATCCAGGGCGGTTTCACTAGAGTACACATTGCTGAGTCGGGGAACTCTCTTGTTATGTTCCCAGCAGGACCGGTGAATTGAGTATGAAGGATGTCGATCCCATGTAGACTTGTGTTTGGTAAAGCACACAACACAGACACTCCCCAAACCGTAAGGATGACCCTCTTTGCATGGGTGCGTGTCACCACATATTTTGCCCGTAGTGGGTGCACCACAGCGATGTAACGCTCTACGCTCAGCGCTGTTACGTTCAGGATAGATGCCAGGCAAACAGTCTCAAATAGGAACGTTTTAAAGTAGCAGCCACCCTTCCCCAGGAGGGAGGGGTAGTTCTGCCACAGCTCATACAGTTCTAATGGCATACCAAGCAGCAGCACCAGCAGGTCGGACACTGCCAGGCTGAACAGGTAGTAATTTGTTGGCGTCCACATGACTTTGTTGCGTGCGATGACAGTGCATGTCAGCACATTCCCCATGACACCTACCAGGAAAATGAACAGGTACGTGAGGCAGACAGGGAGGAATACAGATGATCGACGAGGCCCTAAATACTTCTCTAGGTAGCTTTCATCCGACAGACAGGCATCATCCAGTTCAATATGGCTGCCGTTTGCATCAGAGGTCAGATTGACACACTTTTCCCCCAGAGGACAAAGCCATCCGCCTTTTTCAGCCATTACATCAAAAGAGCAGTTAAAGGCTGCCATTTCTCTGCAGTAATCAGAAAAGGTATCTGAGAAAAGAAAAGATTAAACAGACATCAGTATGAAATGCCATTTTAAATCATTTGAACACACATGATAATAAAGGTTAAGATTATAACATTTCTAATCGTAGTTGAAAATAAATCTAAGTTTTGTCGATTACTGCGAAAGAGTACAAGGAAGTAGTTGTTTCACATCATGACATTTATCTTTCTTCATCATGTTTCCCGAACGATTAGATTAGCTATGACTGCATTTTCTGCTAATGAGTTATGAATTGACTTTGACAGTGAAAAGAAGACCGACTTATTAGATAAGCTTGAATTGCCATCTGCTTCCTGCCGTTGTAGTAGAGCAAAAAAAAAAATCACAATCTTTGTCTTGGTGCTTCAATAAATAAACATAAGCACGTCTTATTATTTCAGTAAAGTTAAAGAATTCATGAGAGGGATACATATTTTAGAAACAGCTAGTACTATGTTTTATTATATATGAATTACTACTATTAGGGTGAAAGGGGACATTGATAGTGACAAACTAACCAATAATTAACAACCTACTCAAAGCGTTCTTGAATCTATCAGCCTATTGATTTAGTTTTTATGGCTAATGTACTGGTATGGTTTTAATGTGACCACTCTAATTAAAGCCACTTCCAGCTGCACTGATAGAATATAATTGGATGGATGAAACCCTCTTTAATGGTCACACATGCAGAGCACACACAGTGAAATTTGTCCTCTGCATTTAACCCATCCTAGTACCAGGAGTCTAGTGCTAGGAGCAGTGGGCAGCTATTGTACAGCACCCGGGGAGCAATGGGAGTGAGGGGGGAAGGGGGATGTCCGGTGTCTTGCTCAAGGGCACCATGGCACGGCAGGAGGTGAATTGGGACCTCTCCAAGTAGAAGTCCACACTACATATTTAGGTCTGGTCGGGGACTTGAACCAGCGACCCTACGGCTCACAGTCCAAGCCCCTACTGACTGAGCCACTGCCGGACAGTGAGCAGGTGTTTTCAGAAAAAAAGAAAGCTTTTTCCTCTACTTTCTCCACACCAAGCAGCAGACAGAGTCAGCAACTAGCTAGTGCATTCAGCTGCCAGTGAGCCAGATGTTGTTTCCATGTACTGTTGCATAAAGTACGCATACAATTTGCAATTCATGTATCTTTAATACAAAAGCATGCTGCAGTGCATTCTGCAAAATGCGACCAGGTGCAGTAGAATATCCCCGTAAAGCTGGCATATTGCATTTGACATACTATGTACTGTGGCATACTAAATATTTGTCTGGCATAATAAATAGCAAGGTAGTATGTGTATTGGACTAAGTAAGTCCCAATGGTATGCATACTGCCAGTGGTTGGGTATAATTTCTTAGTGACAGGCTTGTAAAATATCATCATTAATGTGAAATCTATTATTCATGATAATAAGGCATAGTTGATATAATTTGATTTCATTCATTGATTAACATAAAGATCAAACCTATAGTGTATGCATTTATAAGGGAATGTAGAGAAAAGACGAATAAACCATTTAGTCACACATGAAGCAGACAATTGAAGGAGAGGCAATGCGCTGTGAATAACTTTCATTCCAGACCTCCCTCAGTGTTCTCATTCGTCAAAATTAATGACAGCCTTCAGATTTTCACATCAAAGAAAATCTGTCAATGATGGAAAATATTCATGAAACATTAATTTTCATACGGGTGCAAAGCTCTGCACTTTGTAATGGAAGCTGCACCATATACTAAGAGTAAAGAGAAAACGGATGGGATTTGGAACACAGCCAATGTAAAGGTAAAAAATCACATTCAATTGAATCACAAATATGTAGCCTACTGTATTTTTATTATTATTTAAAAGGGGTTGGTAGGCTGGGCTTTTCAGTTTGAACGAAAGCTACTCAAATAGGCATGCAAATGTTTTGGGACTGTTTTTGATCTACAGTAGGATACATACACATTGGCAGGCCCAGTGGCTGTCTGGTTAAAGGAACATGTCCACATTCAGTGTAATAGTGGTGAATTTATTTGAGCGCTCCAATCTTTTTACTGGCATAGCACAGGGAAATGGGGATAATACACAGGGGCATGCTTTGTCGCAAAAGCACTTACAATTCGAAAAAAAGGTCTAATCTGACTTTTTATTCCATTACCATGATCCTCTAACAAAAGCGGTGGCTACGGGGGACTTCTTGTGTGAGGCAGTACCTAGTGAAAGGCTCTGTTTCTGTTCTGAGTTGTCTCCCGATTCTATTCACTTTTCAGTGTTTACTCAAAGCCCTGAGTCACTAAATTTAAAGTCGCCCACAAGGATAGTTGTAATGATATTATGTACCTTCTGTCACATCCTGTGAGGAGTCATCCGGCTTTCAATTTTTTGGGATAATCTGGGGAAACTAGCTTTTTCTTGATGGGGATAGGATAAGATATTGTTGGGCAAATAACAAACCAAATCAAACTGTATTATTGACTCAACACATGAGATATATGACAGGCACCAAGCAATAGATTCTCATTGAAAGCAGTATGTCCTTGAGATGTACTCTACCCCCTGTTCAAAGGAGCACACTTCAGAAAGCACTGAATCATTATATATGAAGTATTACAAGGCTTTTGAAGTTCCGGTTGAAGGAAAGTAATTGGGTAATACGTTAAAGGGCTTCAGAGTAACTTGGACGAGATGAAAGTTAAAAACATCTGTCCTGTGGATAATTCCGTCATTACATGAATGTTTGAATTAAAAATGTTTTTTTGGTATAGATTATTAATGCATTACATGAAAGACATTACATATTAACTTATTTAGCCTCTGTCAGATTTGAGCCGATGCAGGAGAAGTAGGAACTGGTCAATTAGTTGAATGGAAATTTCCAATGATGTTTACATTTTTCCAAGTGAAAGCCGGGTAATAAGAAAAACAGGAAACACTTTCCTGCAAGTTTAATGACCGACAGTTGAGAAGCAGGAACACACAACAATTTTCTTTGCATTGACATACGAGTCAAAGGTATTTTCTTTCTACCAGCAGAGAGTTACCGTATTCATCCCTTTTTTTCAAGACAGAACGTGAGTTATAAACTCAATCAGTGGTAGGGCTTGTTGTCAGTGGTGGCATACACAATGCATTACAACAAAATACATGCAATACACCATTTTCCTAGTTGTGGAGTGTAGTGTGCCATAAATGATTTATTTGAGCATTCACACCATTCATAAAAGCTAGCAGTCAACCTTGGGGTGAAGGTTGTAAGAGCATATTACTATATCACTCTGTCCAGTCAGTGCATATTCAAAATAATAAAATAATGGGCTTTGTAAAAATGTATTGACTAATGAATATTTCAGCTCTGCACGTTGAAAGATCAGCAGAGGATTTGATGAATTGAGATTATTTTACATTCCATATTCTTTATTAGTATTCTGCAAGTCATGTAGGCTACCTCTAATATGTTTTGTTCAGTCTTAGTAAATCTACATTGTATTCTATATTTTAGAGTATGTTAATAATGAAGTAAAACTAGATTAAATATGCCCTCAGTTACAATAATCTATTAGGCAATTAAGGAGCATCAAGAGATATGCTCTAATAATTAGAGCATATCTCTTGATGCTTCTTAATTGCCTAATTGCCGTGATCACCAGAGAGTCATGACTTGCTTTCACTAGAAATGTGTGAAACAAAGTCACAACACGCTCTGTTCCAAGACTAATTAAAGAAAGTTGCTGTTGTTCTTGTAACTGCTGCATCACCGGTTGGACACATGAAAATCTCCAAGATGTTGTGGTAGATTAAACTTTATTGTTCTCCAGTTAAAAATAGCTTTTGTATGGCCATTGAACAGCTACATTGCAGGTCTCCCTTGAAAAAGAGATCTATGATCTCAATGGGACCAATCTGGTTAAATAAAGGTTTGAAATTAAATGAAATGAGCTACAGCACTAACAGCACTAACAGAGCCTCTGCGTATAAAAAACTATATGCAATGTCCTTTCCCGTAAACAAACAACACAAATTCACTTTATTACCAGATTTTGTTCACGTTCACAGCAACTGTGCTCCAGTTATTGACTATGACTTGTAGATACAGTAAAAAGCAGGACATTCTGTTTTCACAAGTCCTGCCTTGAATATACAGTATAGCTCATTATAGAGGAAGATATTTGTCATTCAGCTAACTACACAACTGCAGCATCTGTAAAAGCATCTCCTACTCCAACATCAATGAAGTATCTAGTCCACTGCTATAAACCCCTTAACATCAATATCCAGGAAAACTTCAATCACCTTATCCAGAATGCAATACATGTTTTGTTCCCCTAGGAGCCAAGGATATAATCTGGCAAATGGCTGACTTGTGTATGCTGCTTCACAAAAGGGAAATTAAATTGGGTGAAACCCGTATGTGGAATTTATCTGATGTTTCTTTATGCCGACAAGTCATTTTAAGCTATCACTTTAATAACACCGGAGGCATTTTGCTCCTTCCCCTTATGCACTAAAGAGATAGACCATTATGTCTCTTTATTCATGAGCAGTGAGCACGCTGCACCTTTCATGACTTCATTTGATTTGTATGATCTATTCTCACAATTATGAGCAATTCTGTGTTTTTTTCAGTTATTCTGTACTTTGTATTCATACAATTCTTACAATGTTAAAAGCAGAAAGAGGAAAAGTGAGACTATGAGATAAACTACATACCAATAATGTCCCATGTGAGTTGAAACTCTGGATATCTTTTTTGATTCATATGATTTTTTGAACAGGATTTTAAAAAGCAGTATGTAATATGTTTGGATTTTTCTCATTCCTGCATTGATCGTCTGCACAATATAATTTCAAGTGTTTTACGTTGATTACTTTTCCCCCCACAATCCTGTTATGCTAAATGTGGCAGGTGCCTTTTCATGCAGGAACCACTTACAGATGAAGGACTTGTGTCAAATTGAATTATAGTCTCAGTGTTGTTGCCTTAGCAAACCTTATACATTA